CTACCCCTCCCCCAGAATAGACGAAATGGTTGAACGTATTGTAAACTACGACACGTATAACACTCTTGATCTCAAGGGCGCCTATCACCAGATACCCATCCGGGTAGAGGAAAGACCGTACACTGCCTTTGAGGCTTGTGGACGTTTATAGCATTTTTTTGTATCCCGTTTGGTATGACCAACGGAGTTGTGTGCTTTCAGCGGACCATCGACGACAAAATTGCACGCGAACGTCTAAAGAATACTTTCGTCTACGTTGGCAATATCACTATTTGTGAGGTCAGCGTCGCGTAGTATGATTCAACCCTTCAAAAATTCTTTAGCGTGGCTGAGAAGTACGGACTAACATTCAATGAAGCCAAAAATGCTATCGCTACCAAATAAATCAAACTTCTTGCTTACGAGGTGTCCAAGGGCAACATTAGGTCGGATGCGGATCGTCTAAGGCCTTTGCGTGAAATGACTCCTCCACAAGATTTTAGGTCTCCACAACGAGCTGTGGGACTGTTTGCATACTACTCACAATGTATATCTCACTTTTCGGATAAAATTCATCTGCTCATCCATAACAAAAGTTTCCCTTTACCATTGAAGGTAATGGAGGCGTTTAATGCTCTTAAAGAGAAAGTTGCGAAAGCCACTGCGGCCACTGCTTAGTACGATATCCTATTAGTTGTCGAGACCGATGCTTCAGAACGTCGCAATCGCTGCCACACTAAATCAGAATGACCGACCAGTAGCGTTATTTTCACGTAGCCTATCTCCAAATGAGCGACATCATTTAGCTATAGAGAAAGAAGCATACGCCGTAGTGGAATACATACGCACATGGAAACACTTCCTCCTCTGTAATCACTTTAAACTCATCACAGATCAGCGTTCTGTTGCCTTCATCTTCGGCAATCAGCAAAAAGGAAAGGTCAATAATGAAAAGATCAAATGCCGGAGGTTGGAGCTGTCAACATTCAAGTTTGACATTGTCTACCGACCTGGTAAAGAAAATCGAGCGGCGGACACGCTTACTTGTAATTGCTGTGGTGCCCTACTAACCAGTGTCAATCTGAAAGAACTGCACGAGTCACTTTTTCCTCCCGGTGTCTCTCGGCCTTCGCACTTTGTTGGAGCTCGGAATCTCCCCTTTTCGATAGAAGAGATTCGTAATGTCGTCTCTAAATGTCAGGCTCGTTGTCAAGTCAAACCCCGTTTCTTTAAAACACAAGGCCAACTCATCAAAGCCACTCAGTCGTTCGAACGATCGTCCCTCGACTTTTAAGGTCCTCTTTCGTGGGCAACTCACAACCGCTATCTGCTAACGATTATAGATGAATGTTTTCGTTCCCCGTTTGCGTTTGCCCGTCCTGATCAGACTGCCGGAACTGTTATTAAATGTTTGTGTCAACTCTTCTCCGTTTTCGGTACTCCTTCGTACTTACACACTGACCGGGGAGTAGTCATTTATGTCAAATGAAGTTCAGCAATTACTTCGCAGTAAGGGAGTGGCGACGAGTAGAACAACTCCGTACAATCCCCAAGGAAATGTGCAGGTCGAACGTCTGAACCAAACTTTATGGAGGACTATCTTGCTTGCTCTAAAATCCCAAAATTTGCCCGTCACGCACCGGGAATCCGTCTTGCTTGACGCTTTACACTCAATTAGATCACTTTTGTGTACCGCCACTAATGCGACACCTGGTGAGAATTTTTGTTTACAACAGAAGGTCAACTACTGGAACTACTCTCGCCATGTGGCTTACCTCTCCTGGCAGAGTTCTGCTTAAGAAGAGCAATCAACAGTCTAAATTTGATCCTCTTGTTGAGGAGGTGGAACTACCCCAATGTACCTCCCAATACGCTCATATACGATTCAATAATGGCAGAGAAGAAACGGTATCCGTTCGACTGCATGCTCCAAGCGGTGAAAAGGATGTTGATGATTGCCACCAGGAGACGGCCACGTTGGTACCAGAAGATTTCTTCCCACTTTCCCCTGACCACCCACCCATTACCGAGCAAGAAAGTGGCACCATCTCAACTGACGAACAGAATGATGCAACACCTGTTAGTGTACCTACCGCTGACGATTTCCGTATGCATAGCCTAGAAACATTAATCCCACAACAACAGTGTTCACCCATACTGTCTTCGTACCAGAGACGCCTGAACTTTGTCCCATGCTAACTTTTCCTATCGATTATTGACATCTCCATTCCTCCATTTGTTGGTCGGGGTGAATGACATGCTAACATAACCCGCTGGCTAAATTCCATCTTCTCTACTTCTCGTTTTAGCCCCGATGCGTCAATTGTAAGATGAATAAAGCCCTGTTATACGGTATTTTCGTTCCGACTCTTGCATCCACATTTGTTCGTCCTTTCTCGTGTGCTTGCTACGGTCCTAGCTACAACACGAACTGCTCTTCTCAGCGCCGACGGCAGTAGCCTACTCGCTGAGATGTGGAAACCAATGCTGACCTCGACCTCCCACCCTCTCTCCATGAAACCATCAAGGTCATGCAACAACGCTCCAGTGGGAAAGCCACCAGATCAGACGCGATCCCTGTTGAGATTTACAAGCGTGGTTGACTCCAATTTAGGAATCACCTGACAGCGCTCTTTCAGACGTGACATCAAAGACAAGTCCCTTCGGAGTTCAAGGACGTAAAATCGTTGAACTCTACAAGCGGAAAGGGAAGCGCTAAAACTGCAACAACCACGGAGGCATCTCCCGCTGAACATCGCCAGAAAGATCTTCGCTCACATCCACCTCAACCGCCTCAACAGTCATCTGGAACAGGGACTCCTGCCGGAAAGTCAGTGCAGACTCCATTGTCATCGAAGCGCCACCGACAGGCTGCCCGCCAGATGCAGGAGAAGTGTCAGGAGATTCGGACCCATCTTTACCATCGTGCATTTGACGAAAGCCCTCGACATAGTAGATCGCGAAAAACTATGGGAAATCATGCAGAAATTCGGCTCTCCAGAACGATTCACTGATAGTGCGTCGGCTCCATGATGGCATGACGGCGCGCGTCACGGACAATAGATCTGGTTCAGAGGCATTCGCAGTGACCAACAGAGCGAAGCAGGACTGCACCCTGGCGTCTACCCTCCTCAGTCTCATGTTCCCTACCTCATGGACGCCTGCCATGACGAAAGTCTCTGGATCCGCTCCGCCTATAGGATGAACGGCCAACTTCTCAAGCATTGGCGGATGCACTTCCAGTCGCGTGTATCCACAACCACCGCCCACGAACTTCTGTTCCCCGACGACTGCGCCCTCAACGCAACCACAAAAGGAGACATGCAAAAAGCATGGACCTTTTCGCCGCCGCCTGCAATAACTTCGGCCTAATTATCAACACGGTAAAAAAAACGCTGGTTATGCACCAGCCAGTACCCAACGCTGCCTACAATCTACCTCATCGACGTGAACGGCACCCCACTGAAAGTCGTGGACACTTTCACCTGCATGGGCAGCACCCTCTCGCAGCAATAAAAGTTGACGAAGTGACCCGTGGGATCTCTAAGGCCAATCAAGTCTTCGGTCACCTGCAGAACACCGTCTGGAATCGTTATGGTCTCAACCTCGACACCAAACTCAAGATGTACAAAGCGGCCATCCTTCCGACGCTTCTCTACGAAACGCAGACCTGGAAGGTGTACAAAAAGCGGGCGCAGAAGCTTAACCCCCCCCCCCCCCCCTTCAGAAGTCTTCGGTGAATACTAAAGCTGAGGTGGCAAGACCGGATCCCAGACACGACGTACTGAAACGGACAGGAATCCTCAGCATCCACGCCATACTGAGATAATTGCAACTGCGCCCGAGCGACCACCTCGTGCGGATGGACAACGTGCAACTACCCAAACGACTCTTCTCTGGAGATGTCGACAGGGGGTCCCGTCGACAACGTCAGGTCTAGCGCTATAAAGACAGTCTGAAGACTTCCTTGAAGCGCCTGCAGATCAACCCGACCGACTGAGAAGACCTCGCCTGGGACCGGCTGGCCTGGAGAACAGGGGTGATAGGTGCAGCGACCTACAAAGCCAACCACATAACCGCCGCCAAAGCCAAACGCGAAGCTCGCAAATGCCAACTGCCCCTGCCTCGCAACTTCAGCACTTAAAAGCCCCCAGAATGCCCACGGTGTCCGCAGACGTTCCGGGCACCAATTGTATTTGTACTTAATACGGCTGCGATCATGCCTGATCTAGCTGGCCTAGATGATGTCCCGAACTGTACCTCTCCACGCGTGACAATCCGCGGCAGCAGATCTGGACAGCTCAACCCATTCCCTTCGCCAACGACGGAGACCGAATACCGAAGGTCTAAGAACCACCTCCATGTCTTGACGAACTATGTCGAGCCAGGTTTTGAACTGACCCCCTCTTTGACGCCTCCAATGGGGCAACGGTGCCGGATCGAGGGCAGTAACACTGAGCTCCTGAGGTGGACGACGAAGAACAGGCCCGAACCACTTCATTCGTCTTTCTCGGATGGCCTGGGTTATCCTTGTGGTGTTGTCGCAGCGAGACCGGACTGTCTCATTTTAGACGAAGTCGGTGAACTTCACTCGAAGGATGGTCCTCAAGCAGTGGTGGTCAAATACCTCCAGTTTTCGCTCGTCCTCCACGCGCAAAGCCCAGCATTCACAACCGTGGAGAAGGACAGACCGGACAGATGTACGGTACACGCGAATCTTAATGGCGATGGAGAGGTCACGTCGGTTCCACAAGCATTTCCGCAGGCTTGAAAAAACCCAGCGGGCAGCATCGATTGGGGATACAATGTCGTCCTTACTCTGTCCATTAAGCAGCAGCCTCGCCCCGAGGTATTTAAAACTGTCTACTTCTTCAAGTTGACAGCCATCAATCCTGAGGGGTGCCTTCTCTTGGTCAGGAATGCAGCTTGGGAACACTTTGGTCTTCCCAGCGTTTATGGACAAACCGACCGATTTAGCGACCTTCAATCGGTCTCGTAGGAAACCTTCGGACGCAATGTGTCAACAACCCGACAGTGGCTACTTCTCTCCCTATTGCCCTGACACAAACCCCGCGCCGACCGCCACCCCCCCCCCGTCACCGCCGATCACACTGTCACTGTCCCGTCGACGTCTATCACCGACATTACCCGCCCTGCCCCAACCTCTGCGTAGGCCACAACGACCAGCTCCATCAACAAGACATCACGCACTCCCCCACCGATGGGACGACGTCCGACGTCCTATCCATCTGCTACCATTACCACCAGCACCCCCACCTCAAGTGATATGGACTCCGTCCATACCTGTCCTCAATGCAATCGCACATTAAGCTCGCACATCGACCTGCTCGGTCACGTGCGAATCCATCGTACAGACTGGCGACCCAGTGTCTGGACCACCAATCTACACTCGCCGCATCCGCCTCCACTGTCCACAATACTCCCGCACATTCATTCACCGCATGGGCCTATTAGGACAAATGCGTATCCACAAGAGCCGAATTCATCACACATCTAGCGCAAGTCGCCGTGACTGCTTTACCGTGCTGTGGAGCGCATGGTGGACATCGTCGGTTGCGACAGTCGAACTATCCTGTTTGTGGCTCCGATAACAGGTGTTATTTAGGGTTGTCTGGCACAGTAGGGTACCAATAAGTCCGAAACCACTGCCGTCGCGACCTCCCACATCCTTTTCCGTTCAGCCCCCATTACTTTTTTTATCAATTATACTCCTGATGACAGCGGTCCTGCATCTATCTCAGTGTCCTCCAAAATAAGCGGTTCCCGCCAAAACTGGACATACAGATGAAGTCGGTTACAGAAATAGGTCTGTTAGCCTAGCTGCTGGGTACCTAGCGCGTCCACAGGTGACGGTCAATGGCACGACCTTCAGACAAGGTTAACTGCGAAACAAGTGAGTTTGCGGGTACGGCAAGTAAGCGTCGTGGACCAGCAGCAACAATGCTACCAGGAGAGGTGGGGGGCTGTGGCACGCCGACTGCATTACAAAATGTCATTAAGTTCGATGGCGGCACTGTGGCATGGCTACCGTAGGTCACAATTAAGTTTGCTTGTCACCACCGTCTGATGAATAGGTTCGAGTCGGAGCGCTAGGGGACAATCTCAAATTGCACTGGAAACCTTCACGAAAACTCATGAAAAGTCGGACTCAGGTATTTCGACCTACGCTACGGAGTCCACGGGAACCGACGTGTTTTGCAACCTTGGTCTAGTGGCGCGGGCGAGTATTCTGCGAGCTTGACTAATCGGTCGGGAACGGACCTCTGGTATTGGATGCTGGGATGTGCAAACGTCCCTAAACACTGGCACCAAAGGCCTGACGGCACGCTTCTGCCTGTCCGAAGTCTGAATCCTTGAAAAAGGCTCTCGAGAAAAGATGCCGGAAGTCAACCCACACTTCATCCTATATCCCAGCATCACATGGGATTTTTCTGATAAACACGCTTTGGCGGTCGCCCTCTCGAAATATGCGAAACAAGCACTACCTGCGTGGGAATCAGTTAATGACAAGATGATTTACGTGAGACTGGAAGATCACTTTACGAACATGTTGTTTCCGTGTACGTACCAACGTTTGCTGTGGACTAGCACAATGACGGCATCTGCTACTCACGGCTGTAAAGGTTAGCTGAAACTTTCTCGCTGTGATCTGCTAGCCGTTGCCAGGAACCGGAATGGCCGAACATGATCAGGCAGCACCTTAAGCAGCCACCCTACTAGTCGTTTTGGGGTCGGTTTCCGATTCTACAACGTAGGAGGATGCTGAAATTGCTGAACAGAACTGACAATTTGTTCCGAACATCAGCACAAACATTTGGCCTGGTACTCAAACGACGGTTATATGACCAGTCAGATCGACTACAATCTAGTCGGCTCAACGTTCTAGAGTTGGGACCACGATAACAGACCGGTGCGAGGCACCGAAACAGGTAGCCCCACGGGCAAAACCATGTTCTAGTTCACGCACGCTTATGTCCACTTCTCATTTCGCGTGTAAAACGCCTTGATGTCGAAAAGGTCCGATAACTCGGTACTCCTAAGACTCTGGGCACAGAAATCAGATCTTGTTCTACGACCCAAGTCGAAAGAGAAGGTAGCAGCCGATAGTCATCATTAAAGTCATCAGACAGTTGAGAGAGTTCTTGGGTTAACTCAGCAGCCCCGCAGTGACTGGAAGTATTGTTTCTGCTAACTGGAAATGACAACAAAGTCGGTTAGAGGTGACCGCAAAGACAGTTGGGCTAAAATAGACTTCCACGGAGCAGGCCTCAAACACCGGTGACACTCGAGAACTCTACCAAATTACTCGCCAAATTAGTGGCAGACCATCCGTACTGAGTGACTCCGTTCGCAATGTAAATGATGACCTCATTGCTGGCGGCTCGGCCACGATCCAGCGCTGGCGTGGGCACCCTTCGCACCCTAATTCTGATGAACAACTCTTGCTACCCTCTGCAGCGGAGCAGTGTTTCTTTTCAGCTGGTATTGTCATGAAACCCCTCTTTGAGGGAGGAATCATCGATGCAATGCGGAGACTGCACAACACGGCGCCCGGAGAGGACGGTAATGTCACTGAAATCTGCAAGTCTTCCCTCGACATTGGCGTCCTGGCTCCACGAGGTGATCGAGCAAGTGTGTGGAGATGAGTTCGTGTCCGTCAACTAGCTGGAGCACCCTTGTCATCAAAGAGACGAAAACGACCGCGGCACTAACCTCATCGGCATTGCTGTGAGGGTCTTCGTTGTTTTTATTCTCGGGCCGTTTCAAACTGTGTATGACTCGAGAACGAGACAGGCAAGCCTCGTTTCTAGCCAGACGTGGATACGCAGACTAGATATTCACACTGCGGCACATTCTTGAATTCCGCCGTGGCTACCAGCAACCGCCGACCGTCGACTTCGCCGCGACGTTCGCGTCCGTCTATCCAGAGTCTCTGTGAAGGACAATAAAACTATATGGTATGCTGACGAAAGTCATCACCATAATCAGGACTTACTACCACTCCACTACTGCATGATCTCTGGGCCATCGCAATATGGACCGTTTTATATTGGATCTGGCGTTCGACAAAGTTATTTTCGACACCCATTTCGTCCAAGTACGCCACTAACTGGACACTCGAAATGGCCATGAGTGGTTTTGGAGGTGCTGAATGTGCATCCCGGCGCCGGCTGACTGGTCGAGACTACGCTGACGATGTTGCCCTGCTGGCCCCAAACTTTGATTACCGGCAGATCGTTGTCGCGAATAAATGAAGCCGCTAAATTGATCGGTTTATTCGTAGACGCTTGGAAGACCAGCGTTCCTAATCTGCACCCATGACCAGGAAAAAGCACTGCTGCCCGAGGACC